ATGGACCGTTAGACCCCTTAACCTTCTTCATTCATTTTATTACTAACTTCAGGATTGATATTACCAACCTTTAGGGTATCTGAGTCTACACGTTTTCCGCAAAACGTTTACATTGGCATCTTTGCATTCTTTATATTCAGACTATTAAAATGTATAAAGCCTTTTTAAGCCTCATGTGCCAGCAAGAGGTCTTGACACCTTCTTATTTAAACTTCAAGCCTGTGTCACTCCATGTATGTGTTTCTGTGCCTGTGCTCACAACTATGTGCAGGGTGGATGGGAGTGCTTATGTGCAGCTCATGTGTTAATGCTGTCATTTCCACAGATCAGTCACAGCAGCCTTTTCTCTGTTGTTTATGGTTATGTCACCACAATTACAAGAGAGAAGGGGGGGGCAGGAATAAAGTGTCTGTGAAAGATTGATAGCTTTGGTCTTTAGTTCAATTGTAAATTAGAATAGCAAGTCCCTCTGGGATACAAGGGCTCTATTTATGATTAAGAAAGAGTCTCCGTAATAGAGTGGTGGAAGAAAAGTTTTCTCCCGCTCACAAACAGGCAATTAGCTTGATGAAATGGGCCTCACGTTTTTTTCTGCATCCTGGTTATGTGAACCCATATTATTATTGGACAGCCTTATAGTTTATGGTTTTATTTTTACCTTGAGCTGCAAACAGTATCGTGTTTAAACAAACTGAAGCCCTTTTTGTGTATTTAAGCACCGGCACCACCATTTTATCACTACAGTTGAATTTGGGCAGAAGTAAACAGAGGAATTTATAGCATGTGATGAAGGTGGCAAGTGTCATAACATTGCTAGTGTTTAGACTGGCGGAGAACTCCGAAGTGCACCTAAATAGTATAGGTACAGACAATAGAAAAGTTTTATCAATATTTATTTATTTAAATTCATCTTGAGATTTGTTTCACAGCAATGCTTTATTACAACCTGCAGCAATTAATTATTATTTGAGTACTGTATATACTTGGTATACTAATTTACTTGTTTGTTGCTGGGTTTCTTTATAGAAAAGAAACATAATTTACCTATGAATTCTAGTATCTTTGCATAATGGTTAACCTTTTATGTGTCAGGCAAATAATTTAACATTGAATGATTCAAACCTGCTATTTGAGCTGTGTGCACATTGTTTCCATCTTCTGTCAAACTTTTCCTCGAGAGTACCTAATCCTTGCATTGTGGGCTGACTGCCATGCTAGTTATACTACCTGGCTGTACAGATTTGTCCCCTACTGTATGTTTCCTGGAAGAGATCAGTCACACCTTTTTTAACATGCTAAGCTTTACTACTGTTTCATTCGCAGAGGAAAATCTGGATCAAAAAAGGAGCCAGAAGTTAGTATAAGTTGACACTATAGAGCAGTCTAATGATCTGAAAAGCTATAAACCCTGTCTGGAATAAGCTGTGTAAACAGTTATTGCCTCAAATGTTATAGTTCATGGCTTTATGGCTGAAAAATGATTATACTGCAGATTACTGGAGCAACATAATATTACTGGTTGTATTGTAGTGACTGAGGAAGTTAGCAGGTGAGCCAGTAGGGAGGTGCATTATAGATGTGGTATGTACCAAAGTGCACATGCCAAGAGTTACCAGATGGAGAATTGGGTCTGTGGGGGTTCATCAGTTCTTATAACAATACAAACAAATTACACTTGAACATGTCCTAGTGCATACCTGGCCAATATGTTAATTAAGATGAAGTAATATGTTATTTTAAAATTATTATGTACAAGTATCACATTTAAGATGTTAAACTGAGACATTTGTTTTCATTTGCTTAATATATTTCCCAAGGCCAGACAAACTTAACTGCTGCTGCAGGGTGTAGTAGCACTAGTCTACAGTTTCAACCTAACTACCACTAAATTACACGAATGGACAAACTGTTACGGTTTCCTAGTCTTTTCCTGTACTTCCTTAATAATGTAAATCCTGATACTAAAAAAAAGAAGCTTTGAGAGTACTGAAATGTGGCTTCTTAGGTGGCCGCAGTCTGATGATGATGATTTCCTGTTGCTCACTATGTACCTACCACCTCAGCACCAGTACACTACTGCCCCAAGCCTTTCTTTACTCAATTTATAATTTAATGGGCACCAAGTGAATGTTTTGTTGTTGTTTTTATCCCCGTTTGATATTTTCCTTTGCAAGCCAGATGAGGCTTCTCAACTTCAGACAACATAAGACACATGTGGCCACCCTCTTTTTGACAGTTCTGCCCAAGAGCACATACTACTGTGCCAGTGGTTGTCATGGAAATTACACCAGTTTATAACATTTGTTTTTAGAGTACAAAGACAGTGGTGATTATCAGTAGCTCTTCTCTTGCTTGTGTTTAGCTTAGCTAATAGGTTTGTTTTTATAAACTTTTCCACTTTCTCTATGCCAGATGCTACGGCCGCACAGACAACGCTCTGCTGCCACCACTGTTGTTTACCGCTGCGTAATGCCTGCTGATTGATCCACAAACAGATGCAACTCTTTAATTGTGACTCACCAAAGCGGATTCAGCTACAAATGTTTTCTGGGGTTCACCACATTTTCTCACCTTGAATATCAACACCCTGTCAAGTTTGGCTTTCTTGCTTTGTTTTAGTTTGTGCAGTACCTGTTGAACAATGCATGCTTAATCATATTGTATAAGCATAACAAATATATGCCATGGTGAAAGGTCTTCATACTAGGCGCAATGTGACTACATTGTAGGAGTAGTTTTTTTCTACTTAAATCCTACATCAAAATACACTGTCATTGCACTGTAAACAGTGCAGCTGCTCTGTCTAACAAGAAGTTAATCTGTACCTGCACTAATGCTGATAACAAGCATGGTGTATCTCAACTCATTCCTCCGTAATACATCGTCACAACCTAGGCCATGTAAAAACTGATAAACGGGTCTTGGAAGATAATTATGTCTTAAGGTATATCTAATTATTCAGTCTCATGCCCATGTTCTTACTGCAAGATAATATCTCTCACCCAATTTCATATGTGTCAGAGGGGGGTGGTTAGCAAACATGATCAGGTGTTTTATTTCGTTTTTGTAACACCTCCCAGCAAGCAGAGTTGGTTACACCTCCTCTTAATGTCTTTTATTGACATTTTAACATTTACCAACGTGGATCCTGTTTTGATGGAAACCAAAGGCTGTGGCTACCCTAAGCTGTGATGTCATCAGGCTCGAAAGTATAGAGCAGCTTCAGAGATAATGAATTAGTGTCACACAGAAAACAGTTACCTGGATATTTACTTTCAAGTCAGCTTCACATTACAATGGTGCTGCATTTTATTTTATTATTACACATTCAGAAAAGACACATTTACGTGTAGACAATCATCGTGCAACTGTATAGCAGGGAATACTTACTCCTAATTCACTCTTTGTTGACCTCTGCCCTGGTGTGACAACATGCCAAATAGAGGTTCCCTGATTTGTCCTAACATAAAACATCCTAACATGAATAGCATTTTCAAATACTGAAATTTGGTGGTATCCTGAAAGAATATGATATTGTCTCAGTGTTAAATGCATTTTAGAAACTGAATAAAAAAAAAACATCTAGTTTTTTTTGTCTTTCTCAAATAGTGTTTGTGAGGGGTGGGTACAAAGAGCTTCCATTGAAACTGTATGTTTAGAAAAGTGTTGGTGAGTATACACTTTGAGTATGTAATGTCACTTAGCTTAAAATAAATACTAAACATAATGAAATATGACTGACTATGTTTTATAGAATGAGTGCCTTAGTGAACAGTTAATTATCAGGACTCATAAACTATAACATTACAAACAAATACTATTTCCACCTCAGAATGTATTTAAGAGCTCAGTAAATTGTGTCTTTTTCTAACCACAGGGCATTATCACATGTCTACAAATACCCTCTCAGTTTATTGTAGTCTAAGATTTTACTCTGACATCATCCGGGAAAGACTGCTTCTCACGTTGTGAGCTCGAGCCGCAGCTTTTGCGTGTCATCATATGACGATACAGTAACCAAGATCCTGTGAATCAGTGATTCCTGTGTTTTATTGGCTTTTCACCTTCGAGTCATCTTCACACCAAGAAGCTGTTCTATTTTTCATTCGCGGTCATCGCTGTTGTGAAGGTCTTACCAAAATCCCATTCACATTCCATTTGCTTTTTATTCCCTCCATGACTTCACAAGGACCATTGATCACATGTGGATTTGTGTGATTGAAAGACCCTGAATGGCAATATTTGTTCCATTCACAAAATGTTAAATCACTACCTGTGGAAGTGTAGAGGTAGTTAACATCGTCAATATTCATGGGCTGCTGGTTTTGTTCATAGTTATAAAATTTATGTCTGCAACACTTTCACAGAGAAATGCATTCTGATGTTAAAACATTTAAGCTTGATTGATTTCTCAGCCTGCAGTCTTTAAGCCTGGAACTGGTAAAAAGTGCCCAATGTAATATGTTACTGTTGTTAATTTTAGTGTTAACTCCAACGGTGCTTTAATTTCAGGAAACGTGTGTAAACGACTCCTTACAAATTTATCACAAATTTTCAAATTGTGCACATTTTCACCACAAAAAGATGCTACCATTATACAATGAACAGTCATACCCTTATTTTCAATGAGCAGTAAGATAAAAATTAGCTGTCATAAGATGTGGACGTGGGCAGTACACACATGGGTTTGCTAAATCCCCGCTGTATTTTTTATCTGGACGTCCTGCAGCATCAGTGAAGCCAAAGTCTGATTTAGCTATAAAGAATAATTTAAGAAATAGCGAGCTGCATTCTCACTTTTTTAAAACTATAGTTATAGCTTTTAACAGCACGTCTCATACAGTTGAAGCAATAGTTCCTGCGGGGTGGGGGGGGGAGCAAGCTTTATTTACACATTTACAGTAAAATATCATGTTCAAACTGTAAAATATATATTATTGAAATTTAAGTGCACAACATTAGATACTGTATTAAGAAAATCTCTAAAGTAACAGAACATAACTCGTATGATATCTCAAACTTTATTTGTCTTAGATATGGCAAGTTTAACACTGCAAATTGCATGTATACACAGCACTACTTATTTGGCTGCTAACACTTCAAACTATAATATTTTATTGGTCATCCCATAATTGTACATGTCACATGAAAATCCTTTGTCGCCAGGAAAAGTCCAAAATCTTCAAGAAGTAAGAACCAACATGCGTTCATGAGTTGATCCAGCCGGGTTTCAGCAGGGTGTTTTCTCCTCGTCCTACAAACCATATAGTTCTTTAACATAAATGAACACGTGAAAATTACAAAACCTAGATATGCAAGGTTTTGACATGACAGTATGGGTTTGATATAATTGGTAAATGTCATAATAATGAGACATTGGTGGCCACTATCAAAAGTATGGCTGCTATTATAACTACAAAATGGATATTGCTGAAATTTAACAAAATAAACCAAAAAGTTCAACAATAAATAGCTGTAATGGAAAGCTTAAGCTGGAGTAAGCCACTTCTACATCCGTGTGATGCCGCTACCACATTACACCTTGAATTACAGTAATTCAATACACTGTCTGTTGCCTTTGGGGCCACATGTGAACCATATCTGGCTCAGGACTGAATGTTGCCACAGCTTTCTCTCTTGTGTCTTCTCCTGAACTTTTTCACTGTCTGAGGAGATGAAAAAAAAGAAGTGTGAGGCGAGTGGACTGCCCACTTTCCCTCTTTAAAAAGAAAAGGGAGGGTAGGTCACACTCAAAGAGACACATCTCACAAGTGCCTGGTACAACCGCAGTCTTGTACTGCTGGTCGCTGTGCAGCTCCACTGGGACAGATGGGGTTTAAGCTGCTTTGCCGAAGGGTACTTCAGCAGTAGTTCCTGAGGGTTATAGAGCACTTATGACACAATTCCCCTACCCAGACTTTCCCAGCGAGTCTTTAGAGTTAAATCATTGACCTTCTGGTCATTGCTGCTACAATGCAGCTGCCTCAAGTAACCATCACGTATGCTCCATCTATCCAGTCTTTAGCAGCCAAAACAACGCAGCATTTAACATGTCTCCTATCCTCTCTCCATACTGCAGTTTCACTTTAAACCTAACAGCCACAATTCAAACAAACAGCATTTACAAAAACATTACGAGCACGCTGGCAGTCAGCCTAAAGAGTGATCATTGAGACAAATTGATCCCTATCTGTTTAAATTGGCACTATAATCTATCATTGGCAAATTGAACACAGTGAGCTATCTGGGATCTATTGCCTTTTCAGATAGCGGCCCTTGGGGCATGCAGACAGCGGGAAAGTGATCTACACCACTGAATGAACTCTTTATAAAATGGTCTCGCCTCAGACCTGTATGTCTGCTTATACGATGACACACTTTCACAAAAAGGTCAATGTTGTACATATTTTTCAGACACTGTACATGCCTCTGTATGGCTTACATATACAATCAATTACACACAAACACACACACACCATATTTAATTGTTAATTGTTATAATGGTGTGCAGTATTTTGTAATTACATATTATTAAGAAGCCAAAAAGACAGAAACAATCATTTAATTAATTTAATCATTTTATGCCCGCACAATTGTCAAATATTTTATGTCATGAAAATTTAAACGTTAAAATGTGATATATGAGAAGATTTTGCTTATGTTTTTCTTATATTTCTTCCTGCGATTATCTTGCCATGTGAGTCGAAACTTCTTGAAACTTTAATGATGTTTTGTCAGCAAATATTCTTTACCTCACTGAAGTCAAATGTACAAGCAGACATTTGACTTACTGGTCTAGTTTTCCCTATAAGCAACATTACAACAGCACAATGAAGCACTGCTATAAAGAGACAAGCGATAACAGCTTAACAAGAGGGCACTGATTGATAATATGCAATATGGGGCACCACCATCAATCAAGTGGTCAACCAGGCCTATTTATAAAAGCCTATTTATGAGTGTTAAAGAAAGTTTTGAATATTGAAAGTATGATGGAAATGTTTTATTTTATACAAACGGTTGAAACATATTGCCTATTAACAAGTAAATCACCTCTGCTGTTATGTGGAATCAATTCCTGTATTTTAGATTTTTTTTGTGTGTGTTAATTTAGCCAATTGTCCAGAAAAGACCAACGTTTCTCTTTATGGTGATTTTATTTTTTTTATTTTTTTAAGTGAGACTATTTGGTTTCTGTCCTGATTCCACACTCATCTAATTCAATCAGTCTCTTGAAGTTGATTAGTCTGGTTAACATTTGCTCCTGCGCGGGTCTGGAAGGGTTAATCAGGCCGGGATCTCTGAGACCTCCGGGTCAGTATCCCTCTATCTGCATGAAGGACTTGGTGACAGAGATAAGACGAAAGTCAACTTTTATTCCAGTTTTTACTTTTTACCCAGTTGTGAGAGGGGCTTCTTTTTTAGATGATCTATCTCACACTTCTTTTTTTTTTAATCCAGATATGCAAGAAATGTTTAACTCAATTCACGCTGGTAGTTATGTAGTTTTAGTCTCCAATCTGTTGACTCTGCCCTGTTTTGACCACTGCGCGCTTTGTCATATAAGAAGAATTACCAATCGCAGTGCACGTGTCAGTTTAACCTGATACATCAGTGAGGGCTTTTTGTTTGCACGTCCGTAAATCTCAACTATTATCTACTCACTATCGATTAATTTAACTGCACTTATCCCAATCAGCACATCTCCACTCGTGTGTTCCAGAGCGTGTGCTTTGTTTTACTAACAATAATAAAGTGATTTAGTCCCTTTCCCCCAGCCGGAGCATGGGAAATCGTTAAGGATCCAGCTATTCGTGTGTGATCAGTAAATATTTAGTGCAGGCGACATCCTCTGTCTCGTCTTAATCGATGCTGGTCCCGTTGGGTAGCGCTATTGTTGTGTGCATGCAGGCTCGCTGAGCATATAGTGCTTTTATCCTCTGCTTGAAGGGAGAACAACTACTAATCACAGAGGAAACTTTTAAACCCGGGAAATAAAAACTGCAGCACAAGACTTTTTTTTTGGGGGGGGGGGGGGGGGGTTAATAGGCTAGCAAATCAATTGTTGTTGGTGTGGAAATGTTTATGCGTGGAAAAGGTGCTCAATTTTTCACCCTAGTATAGATTTACGGAGAGTTAATCGAGGCTATCATTTCATATATAGCCTTTTTTAATTCACTGCATAATGTATAATTACTAAAGGTGTAGCTGTAAGAAAAAAAGATTGTTTATTTAGTCGCTTATGTCTTTATTTTTTATAACGTGTAAACAATTATTTTATATTATAATTGATATTAATTAAAATAAATTATTCTTCTTATTAATACTGATAAGAAGACTCACAATGGTCACTGTTGTTTTTATGGGCTCCAGTTAAGCATGTTTATTTTACAATAAAATAAGAATTTTGTCATTTTTAATTACACCTCTAATTACATGTCTTATTACATCTTTACTGCCAGGATCCATATAATTTCTAATATGCATTATCTCTCTCATATGCTTCCTCTCCACACTCAAAGACAGGTGTCTGTTCTGAGTTCACCCCCTCCCTCTCTCCTCAGGAGCCCACACAAAGCAGCGGCGTGCAAGCGCGTTTTGGCCATATTACTGTAGGAGAGAAAAAGGCGCACAGGACCACTGCTTGCTGTAAAGCCTACTTATCATTTTCAGAGGCAGTCAAATGATATTCTGCTCGGACCGACACGTCAACTTATATTTCCAATTCCTCGCTCAACAACACATAACGTGAAGTAGTCGTTTGTTTCGGCTCTCCAAAGTTTTTGCATGATCAGACATTGCACTTTTCAAATAAACATCGTGCCTTTTTTGTGTTTGATCGCGTCTGTTGGAAAGGACGCTTTGCCAGTTTCAGTCTGAGCACTGTGCGTCGAAAAAGAGAAGACTAAATATATTCTGAATAAGAGAGAAGATGCATCCCGCTACGGACGAATCAGCAACGTATGCATTTGGTAGGTTTGTTACTATAAGAATACAGCCTCCTGCCTCTCTTGCACTAGCACATCACTTTATGAATGGGTATTTGCAAACTAGTTGGGCTTATTGTGATCATTATATAAATTAACACTTGGATAATAAACGAAAATGACTGATAGAGTCGCCCGTATTCAATGCGCACCGGAGACATATCGTATAGCTCCCTTACTATGCTCGGTCTGCAGCATTCAATGTCTTTTATTTCAACAGATAAACCTGTCCGCTTATTAGACAATATTTAATTTAGAGCATATGAATAAAACACTACTGCTTTGTCGATTTGTCCTAACAAAGTGTGCAAAATGTATACTTACCATTTGAAGCAATGCTGGATCCTCGATAAATGGATACCTTGCGGACTCTTTTTATTTACAGACTCCTCGTTTTCACGGGATCTGTAAATAAAACCGACAAAATAGTCATGCAGACAAAATATAATTGGCTAATTTGTTTTAGAATAAAGACATAATTGGTCTAAATACCACCGCTGGGACTGTCTGAAGTGGCAAAAAAGTAAATCCAACTTTGGCAACTCTCAAAGCTTTGCCGTCCAAGTCATGTAAAACAGAATTTAAACAAACAGTCATCAGTTTAAAATGGTGCTCGTTAGTTTGGTCGATGCGGGAGACAAGACTGAAGCAGTTTCCGTGTCGGATGGCTCCTCTAAATTGAATCTTGTTTGAAGCAAAAACTTCATACGCTAGGGGGCACCCATATACTGTAATACATCCTGGGACAATGCATGCTACCGCTGCTGCTGCTGCTGCTGCTCGCTATAGACTAACACACACCTCAGGCTATAGGTTCATCTGTATGGCTTTAAGTTTTACCTGCAGTGTTAAGTTGGATGCCCTCCGGACATAAAGTAAAGCAGTTGTTACCGCTGTTTACATACAAGCTAAAATAAATATTAACCATGCAGGCAGCAACTCTGAACATACACCGACGTCGTTTTACATGCACGGCATCCTGCATTGTGTTTTTCATTATTACAAAGTGTAGATTGTCTTTATTATAGGGAAATATATGTCATACATTGTGAATCTAAATGACCTCAAATAGCTTTTATAGCGTTGGATGTGGCTTGACTTTCATCCTAAGCCAGCCTGTTCGGTTAGGATGAAAACCATAATGTGACTGGCATGGCCTTTAACCTCAGGTGACATTTTTAAACATATTCCCTATTTAAAGCTACATTCATTTCACGTTCACAACCGCATAAAGGCAAACTCTGACTTTTGAGACTCAGATGTGGCCTTTCTGACCTGGTGGGTTTGGGAAAGTTGTGGCCGGGGGGAAGGGAGGGGTGGGGGGTGGGGGGTGGGCTATCATAACATTTTTATAAGAGGGTGTGGAGGGTGGTGAGTGGTACCTGGTGTGATTAGAAACGCTAATAGGTTTATTAACCTCTACAAATATAGGAAGGTGTAGAGAAAATTGTGGAAATTCAGACGACATGGCGTTAAGGTGACCCTCTGAGTGTCTGGCTTTAGTCTACATATGCATAGACCAAACAAGTGTACACATGCTGTTTCATTTACAAGTAGGCCTACCCTAAATAATGTTGGGAGTCTTTATTTAGAGTATTGTACAGTCAGAGTGCCTCATTTGTTCTTATGTTATATAGCCTAGTTTGTGTTTTCTGCCTTTATATCCACATAGACCACCTAAAGGATTAAGATAAGGGCACAGTAGATAGACAGTTTTATTGTAATGAGCGCAGATCATGTCCTGAAGGTGCACCTGTGTCTCGGTGACAAAATCTCTTTGGATATTTCAGCTTGTTACAGGGGTCCCTGATTTAGCTAGGCCTACTGCAACGCGATATGAGGCAAATAATTGAATTCAAATTTTGTTTTGTTTTTAATCTTCGTGAAATTGCCAAGGCGTTTGCCGGGCGTGCATGTGAGAATAACCTAGGCTATATGGGTGAATAAGAGTGACTAGAAATGATTCCTCTTTCCGAAAGACGTCTCCTTTTAGGACCAAGCGGCCCTCTCGACCTCCATGCTGGCTCTGGCAAGGTACCAAGTAGCACAAGTGCCGACTAGCCAATGGGGTTCAGGGGGAGGTCCCTGAGCTCTGACCAGTCAAACACACTCTCCTTCCTTATATGGCAGCTGATCTCCATGGTAACGTGTGCTAAGTTGCAGCAGTCGTGTCAAAGTTCACTATATAGAGAGCTCAGTGAGCTGATCAGAGAGAAAGCATTCTGCCAGCCCGGCTCCTACCAATCGCAAATCACTTCCTAACCTCCGCCTTTTTAACATATTTGATCACTTTGATTCTCTACTCCTTTTTCCTATTATTTTTCAGTCCACGGAGGAGGTTTGTAGGCTGTGATCTCTGTTTTTTGTTTTTTTGTTTTTTAGTGTTTTCGCTTTTTTGGGGGGGGAGAGAGTTGTCTTCATATTCTAAGCTCTCAAAACATTGGCTTCAGCTGTGCGCTTGCTGGCGCTACCTCATAGGAAGAAAAGGAAGAAGACGCATTTTTTTTTACCCAGTTGGTGATTTTTCTTCAAGACTTGTGCTGGAACTTGATAGTAGCTGCTACGAGTGTGCTCACCAATTGTTTTATGCTGCTGCAGGCACGGTCTTACCCAACCTGCTCCATCGTTCACTGAATAGTCCATGCTACCTCGGTTGATTATTTTAATATTTAGTCTGTCTTTCCCATTGATGGGTGTACTGGATGGCTGACTGTAAGCGCCCCTGGACTTGGCCTTTAAGCGCAAGGCAGCGACTCAGCTCGCCATCGCATCAGTTTTGAAAACGTGCTTCGCGACGCCTCCAACAGCAATAAATCGACAGTTTTCAGGAGATTCAACGAGTGGATTCAACGTAGGCTAGATTTGACATTTTGTGTGTCCGGCTGTTAATCACAGTTTACCGCGTTTCCTTGAGACATTATTCACCGCGAGACCAAAACGGCAGACAAAAAGTTTCTTTACGTTGACTGATAGATATGGCAATGGTAGTGTGGAGAGGCTCCCAGGACGATGTGGCTGACACCCAAGGCACCCTTTCCTCGCAAACCCAAGGAGGACTATCCCTTCCCACCCCTCAACCAGGCCAGTTGAATCTGACAGCCTCTCAGGTCGCCCCTCCGACCCCTCAGACTCCGGTCCAGGGACCCCCGAACAACACACAGTCCACGCCGACGAACCAGACGACGCAGCAGTCGGAGAAGCAGCCACAGCACATTGAATGTGTGGTGTGTGGGGATAAATCGAGTGGCAAACACTATGGCCAGTTTACTTGCGAGGGGTGCAAAGCTTCTTCAAACGGAGCGTAAGACGGAACCTCACTTACACATGCCGTGCCAACAGGAATTGTCCAATCGACCAACACCACCGCAATCAGTGTCAGTACTGCCGCCTCAAAAAATGCCTTAAAGTCGGCATGAGACGGGAAGGTATTGGGACTTTCTATTTTCCTATTCAAGTATGTGTGTTACGTTTATTGTTTTCCAGCCATGAAACCATGTTATGTCGCCCCCATAGCCTGTCTCTCTCCCGACTATTCCCTCCCAGGCTGTGCGGCTGGAGCTCGCAATGGAGCCGCTCTCTGCTGTGGTCGAGACGGGGCACATTCTGGATCTTCCCTTTTAGCGTTGCATTATACTATCCAGCTCCAGCGCATTATAGCTCTGCATTTCTCAAATAAGATCCGACACCCTGGCTAGATTAGGGCTATCAAATTTATATTTAGATGAAACCATGAGCGAGATGGTCTGTGTTGAATAGATGATACAATATAGCATTCTGCGCTATTATGGCGAGTATCGAATTAAGAGAGACCGTGTTCAGGCTACATTTCCATATCTATCCTGCATGTAGTTCACTGTGTCCAAAACCGGACATCAGCTTGAATTATACGCACAACGCCTCCATATAACCTCAAGAATTTATTTGAATATTAGTCGAAAATAGGCCCGCATGTATAGTAAAAGGAGATGAATTGCTAAGTAGGTTAAGGGTTAAACATGCAAGGTTTCCCTTGCCCTCTTTGTGTTCCTTCACAGCCAGCTCATGTTGCTGAAAAACATCATTTTAAAGATAGACATATACATGGCGTGTGTTAAATGCGTTTAAAGCGCATCTCTGGCGTTTCAGTAGCCAAAAGATTAGTCCCACCACAGCCTCGTTAATTTTCAATGCAACCTGTCCTTTTAAAACTCCTGTGCAATAACATGATGTGTGTGTGTGTGTGTGTGTGTGTGGTGTGTGTGTGTGTTGTTGATGTTAGCCTTTAGCAAACATGCTGTGTGTCATTTATTTTCCCAAGGTGTGAGCGGTCAATTTGTAAATTGTGTAATATTTGACAGCAGCTTTGATGCTCAGTGATTGTATGAAGGTTTGTAGAATTCAGGCTTCAATATCTGTAGTTTCTCTTTTTACTGCAGCCGTGCAAAGGGGACGGGTGCCACCCACACAGCCACACCACGGCCAGTTCGCCTTGACAAATGGAGACCCACTGCACTGCCATTCCTACTTATCCGGATATATCTCTCTTCTGTTGAGAGCGGAGCCCTACCCGACGTCCCGGTATGGCAGTCAGTGCATGCAGCCCAACAACATAATGGGCATCGAGAACATTTGTGAACTAGCAGCCAGGATGCTCTTCAGCGCCGTGGAGTGGGCCAGGAATATTCCCTTCTTTCCAGATCTTCAGATCACCGACCAGGTGGCTCTGCTGAGGTTGACGTGGAGTGAGTTATTTGTGCTCAACGCCGCGCAGTGCTCCATGCCCCTGCATGTGGCTCCCCTCCTGGCGGCGGCTGGCCTTCATGCCTCCCCTATGTCTGCGGACAGAGTGGTAGCCTTTATGGACCACATTAGGATCTTCCAAGAACAAGTGGAAAAGCTCAAAGCTTTGCACGTTGACTCTGCTGAATATAGCTGCTTAAAGGCTATTGTGCTCTTCACCACAGGTAAGACAATAGACGGGCACACTCCAAGTTCAGCCTGTGTGAATGTCAACATGCTCACACTGACATCAGCTAAATCAACGCTGACCTAAATATATCTGCACTAGAGGCTAGAGGTTGTTCCTCGTCTTAGATGAACACCCAGCTAAAATGTTTACCCATGCTGCCTTCATGGTCAGGGGCTTTTTAATAGGCTTTAGGCTACTAAATTATAAATCCACTTGATTAATCAACTGATTTATCACACACACACACACGCACACACGCACACACACACACGCGCGCGCGCGCACACACACACAGGGCTAAACTGGAATTCGTGGCATGACTACGCAAGAGATTTTTAAATTAAATTGATAACAAAATAGACGAACGTGCAGCCTCACAGAAACAATATAACATAATCTAGACTTAAATAAGACTGATAACTTCACAATAATTGCCTTAAGCGTCACAGAATCTAGCTGTTAATACACGTTTGGAGAACCCAATAGCTTGCAGATGAATTGCTACAAAATCTTTTTTTCGCCATTTATCAATGTGTGTATACCCCACGTCTTGTTTGTAGGGAATGACAGTTATAAATGATGTCAGGCTCCGAGGGGGAGGGGAAAAGAAAAAGAAAGACAAGCCTAATGTCCCATTTGCACACAGTAAAAGCAGAGCGGAGGTTTCAACGCTCTCTTGTCATTTAGGGGACAGACATGTCCGAGAGAGCAAAAAAAGCATGTAGAACCCATGCACACCCT